GATTTCTCCCACCTTCTACCTTTAGCCAGTGTTTCTCACCTTCTCTGTTTGTCTGCCATCTAGTGACTCTGCTATTGCTCACATTAATTGGCAAGTCCTATTATGTCTGTCTCCTTATCTCCTCCAACATGATAAATCATTTAGGTCACACACTCGCAAGCACACTTCAGCAAGCCGATTATGTGACCTGTCCATACACAGACATCATTCATATCTACAATGGGCTAGTGTGATGAAAGGTCTGAGTCTGTGCAGATATTTCAGCTGTAGTAATTTATTAGTCAGTAGTGTTACTGTCTGGCCGTACCAGTGAACAAAGGTTTAAAAACACCTAAATATAGAACACACAGGCTGCAAAAAAGGGAGTTGGGATTTATTCTAGCTTTGTTTGGGTATAGAACTTGGCTCACCTGTGAGCTGTTTATTTTTATAAACTGATTTTATCATAGCATACTTTATCATATGCATCTTTAGCAGTTTTGGTTTTCTGTGGAACAAACTGAAAGCTTCAGAATGTTTGAGTAATCACTTCCTGCAATATATACCCAGTGCCATTACTTGAGAGTGCATTAACCCTTCACCATGCCTTTTAACGGTCCTCATTCTGGCATGACAGTTCAAATATTCGGGTCCTGCCCTGCCATCCTGACGTAGTTCCCTGCTGTCCCGTTTTTAGGGACACTAGGAATCTGTCCCCAACAAGCATAGAGTAAGCACATGATATTCAGTGCTCCCTGCAGGGTCAGCCCTCAGTGTGCTGTCCTAACATAATAGGCAGGCAGTCTGAGCTACCAGGAAGTCCAGTTCCTCCACATGGCCATATCATGTTAAGCCTACCACTACTTCACAGTACCCTAATATCGGTAGGTCCTACTCTAATTCCAACATGGGAGACAAATTAAATGCTAATTAAGTGCTAAATTAACTAAAATATATTTAATTAATCTGTTGTAAAAGCCTTTTGAATATATATATATAATTTTAACGTGATAAACACAATTCAAACAAAAAAATTCAATCTCAAAATTAAAAAAACAATTAAAGTGACAATGCATTTCACAGATCTGCTCTATACCAAATGACAATTATAATTATACATTTGAGGAGGTTTTGGATAACAATTTCACTTTAATTTCTTGTGGGCACCTCCAAAGGGGCATTAGGGGGCAAGGGGTGGGAGCTTAACCCAAATGAATCTGATATGGACTCCAAACATAGTTAATAATAATAAAAAAGGAAAAAGTTAATTGGGGGCATGCCCAGAACATGCATTTATTAGCAGACATGCAGGCATTCACTGAAGACATTGGGGGAGAGAAAATATATTATACACTTATATTTACTGCTGTTGTGCTCTATCTGTGCTACTTCCTGGTAGAAATCACTTCATTGCTGACACACTCCTAACAGGATTATTTTAACCTTTAGCAAAGGAGGAATTATATTTTTATGCCAAATAGATTTGAAAGATAACAACATTAGACATGTAACATAATGTTTAAAGAGTGCTTTAACATTATCATATGACATTTACAGATGAAATAATGTTAAATGTTAAGTACATGTAGCATCATGTTTACATAGTACCTTGTATTCATCATACAACAAATATATATTCATTCCGGGGGAAGAAAATCTTACCTAACAGCATCTCCAATGATACTTCTCTAATGCATTGAGCATCTTCTCACTGGATTGGAGAGTTGTATGCTTTGACAGACATTTTGTTATATATTTTCCAATGCTCTTGGATTTCCAAGTTCAGTACCTACATTGTTAGAGACGAAGAAAAATCAATACTATTTGCAACACAACAAAGTCAGGGCCAGGCTAAGCAGAAATAGAAATATTGGTATTCTACGAATGGCAAATAATGCTGATCAAGGCAAGGGCAAAGGAGAAGAACAGGGTTACATAGTTACATAGTTACATAGCTGAAAAGAGACTTGCGTCCATCAAGTTCAGCCTTCCTCACATTTGTTTTTTGCTGTTGATCCAAAAGAAGGCAAAAAACCCAGTTTGAAGCACAATTTTGCAACAAGGTAGGAAAAAAATTCCTTCTTGACCCCAGAATGGCAGTCAGATTTATCCTTGGATCAAGCAGTTATTACCCTACATTGAAAGATTATATCCTTGAATATTCTGTTCTTGCAAGTATGCATCTAGTAGCCGTTTGAACATCTGTATGGACTCTGATAAAACCACTTCTTCAGGCAGAGAATTCCACATCCTGATTGTTCTTACAGTAAAAAAACCTTTCCTTTGCCTTAGACGAAATCTTCTTTCTTCCAGTCTAAACGCATGGCCTCGTGTCCTATGTAAAGTCCGGTTTGTGAATAGATTTCCACACAATGGTTTGTATTGGCCCCGAATATATTTGTATAATGTTATCATATCCCCTCTCAGGCAACGTTTTTCTAAACTAAATAGGTTTAAATTTGTTAACCTATTCATGAACACTAGTGAAAACCATTATCTGACGCTCGAGAAACTCCAGTCTTGATATCATTACTTCTTTCTAATCAGTATGTATACTAAATTAAATTATATTTCCTATAAGATTATAAGCCTGGGCAGGGATAACCCTGTTTTGGTCTGTCGAACAGTTTTAGCATTTTTTATATCAAGATAAGAGATTCCACCAGTTCTGTACTTGCCTAGCCTGTAGAACCAGGGGTCCCCAAAAGGGAACTACAGCTTCCATGATACTTTGTCATTCCAAAGGCATGCAAAGCATCATAGGAGTTGTAGTTCTACAACATCTGGGGATCTAGTTTATGGGCACCCCTGCTGTCGAACATCTGGATGTAAAAAGAGAAAGATTAGTCATTTTATGTGTAACAATATATGCCATAATATCAAACAGCTTATTACATGTTATTCCACCAACATTACTTATGCCATCATTTGCCCATGTAATACATTTTACACGGAACGTACACCTAGACCCTTCCCCCTCCATATTTGTTTTGAAGAACATGCCAGAAATATTAAAAGCTATTTTCAGAATCATAGCGTCCCAACACATTTCCAATAGTATCATAAGTCACCCTAAGGGCATGGAATTTTTCTATTGCAATAAATCTGGAGGTGGGAGGAATTTAGTAAGAAATTTGGCAGACGAGAGATGAGATAGATATTTACATTGGTTCCTTTAATACCTAGAGTTTTAAATGTTGTTTTTGATATATTTAATTTTTTACATTAATCATTTATCAGAATTTTATTTTTTTGTAGATATTTCACTAACCCGTCTCTGCCCCAGCCCTATCTTTCCCTTCTTTTAGGTTTTATTTTAGATAATTATATATATTTGTATTTGTTGTGTTGTACTGTTGATATGTATGACATTGCCCATAGTCACCTAATATGAAACACATTATTATATATTTTTTACAATTCGTTCCTTTTATAGGATGATGTTGTAGCAGAGAGCAGTGGTAGCAGGGCTTCTTCTCCACTGGTTAGTCCAACAGCTACTCAGGAACAAACAGGAAACTTCAGGACAGCAGGCATAAACACAAGATGATACACGAATATACCATCACCCTTCCCAATAACTGGACAACACTCAGTATTAGGAGCAGAACTCAACTTTTAATGGCCAGGCTGGCCTTTTATGCAGGTTTTGCCCCAAATGTTACCACCCAGGTGGACCTTGTGGGGCACCGATAAAAATATACATCAATCAGTAAAAATAGAGTTAAGTCACAAGACCCTAAGACCCTCACATACACTGCACACAATCCCTCCCCTCTGATCAGGGGATAATTGAGTTAATACTGTATCAACTAAATTATCCAAATACAGAAAAAAATCAAAATGTTCATACTTTTCTGAAAACACCCCAACATCCAACATCCCTTGATAGCCCCGATCTGGGGGAGCAACATACTGAAAAATCACCCAGATCGGTTCAAGGGTTCGAAAGTTTTATGGATATCTTAGTTTTACCGACCGCACACGAGGTGTAAGCCGAGAATAGTTCCATGAGTTTTGGGTGAGCGGTCGGTCTCCATACGGGAGGTTGAAATACATGAAAATATACAACAGAATGATTTGTGTCTTCATTTGTTTAATTTCCCCCGTGGTTCTTTTTACCGATTGCCGCTCTGTTCCCTTGAGTTCCCATGAACTTATGCAAGGATGGAAGTCTCTGCGGTGCCATCGTGTGTCCAATTTGGGTTCCAGACACTCGACGACCAAACACAGCTGGTGCAAATCGTATGCTAAGATGGCCGCCGCCACGTGTTGGTATGACGAACGGCGGCCACAAAGGGAACACCCAGTTAGTTTGTGCGGTTGGCAATTAAAGCAGCATGAACCAAGTTAGGGAGGTCAATTGATGCCACGCTCCTCTCCTGGGTGGCCTGATTGTGCGGTAGTTTGTTCGTCGAACAATATGGTGTAAAATTGTTGAAACAGGATTCTTACCGAACAACCAGATGAACGAGAGTTAATATTACATTGTTCCTTGTTTCCTCATGTAACCAACAGGGCAAGTAACTGAAATACAGTAACACATAGGGTGGGTGGACAGCCCTTAGCAAAAGGAAGGTACTGTGGCAAAGCCTATTCCGCTACAGTTGTATTGGATTTTAATAGTGGAGCACTTAGCGAAAAACAAATATATTACTTACTCTAAAATTATATTAAAAGTGAAAATAGTGCTTTCCTATTTGCCAATATATAGCAAAGAAAATTATCACCAATTTTAGACTTTTGAAAAGTGTGTGTGTAAATTCTCCGAAATATTTTATTGTCACAGTTAAAAGGACACTATAGTCACTAGAACAACTGCAGCTTAATGTAGTTGTTCTAGTGAGTATAATCATTCCCTGCAGTGGAAATTGTGCCAGGTAAATGTTTTCTGGTTAGCAATAAGGTATAATAACCTCTGAAATTTAGGAAAGCAAAACATAAAAACATAAAAACTAAAAACATAAACGTACATTAAGCAAGTCTTAGAGGAAACATTACGAATGCCAGTTCACAGCAGCTCATGTGTAGGCCAGCAAAGTGTGGCTCCTGCTTGTGGCATCAGGGTTTGTAGGGTGGAACAGAGTGGTGTTATCAATTTCCAAATTGGTGTCGGGGTAGTGTGCTGCTCTACCCTTGGGTTCAATGTAGGAAGCGGTGCAAACGTCAGGTAGTGAGACAAAGCTGCCTTCCGTTGTGTTGTACCCTGAGTTGATGTCCCGGATCCCATCTGTAGGATACAGCTCCATCCTCGAAGTTGCTTGGTAGGTGGCCTTAGTGATTGTCGCCATTGGACAGTAGGACAAGAAAAGTCCCCATAAAACGAGATAGTATAGGTTTCGAAGGTGTAGTGTGGGGCCTTCTGTGTCTCGGTCAAATCAGAACCCCACCATCAGGTCTCAAGAGACAGTAGCAAGGGCCTTTAGTGATTTGGCTACTCGAAAATACATTAGTCACTAATTTCGCTTTTGCTGGAGGTAACATAGAAGCCTGTAGCCTTTGCAGTAAGTGTGAGATCTCCTGCAGGGGAACGGATTCCGGGATACTTCTGATCCAAAGATTCTGCCATCATTGAGAATCTTCCAGCAGTGCCCATTTTGATTCGAACCGTTGCTGGTTTTGTCGCATACATGCCATCTTTTCAGCTAGGCCTTGATAATGGCCCTTGTTTGCATTCGAGTCCTCCTTTACTACTCGTATTTCGACAAAGTGGGACCATCACGCCTCTAGGTAGGGCTACCAGACCAAGATCCCAATAAGTCATCCTTGAACTCGTCCAGAGTCCGTTCTTCATCAGGGTCTTCTACAGAGCTACTTTCCGAGTATTCAGGGGAAGGCTCCAGCGGTGGCGCCATTTTGGTTGCACGAGTCCTAGGCGGCAGTCGGAGCAAGTCATCTATGTGTTGACATTTAGGGTGTGCATCGGCTCTCAATTGTTTAAATTTGTGCCCCATTCTTCATGAGCTGCTTGGGGAGATTTTAGGGCCCCAATATTGTAGGTATTTCAGCGTTAAGTGCACAATTTCCAACGCTCTCTATGGAGCTATCGTGAAACATGTCTGCTCCAGTCATTCGCTTGCTCCGCCCCAACTCTTTTGTGTGTATGTTTGAAAAATTATAACTTGGTCTCACTCACGTGTACTGGAGCCTTTCCTGCAGGCTCCACTATATGTGCAAGCGTCTGTTAGGGCGACGCTACCCTTTGGTACTGATATTCGAGATATCATCGAGTAGATAGTTATATATTTTGGTGAATTTGCACACACTTTTTGCATTTTGCAATTTTTAAAATTATCTAAAATTGGTGATATTTTTGCTAAGTATCTTCAACTAGGAAAGCACTTTTTCACCTATTTTTTAACATAATTTTACTTTACAGTAAGCTATATATTGATTATTTTTCTCTAGGCGTTCCACTATTAAACATACATAGAAACATAGAAACATAGAATGTGACGGCAGATAAGAACCATTCGGCCCATCTAGTCTGCCCAATTTTCTAAATACTTTCATTAGTTCCTGGCCTTATCTTATAGTTAGGATAGCCTTATGCCTATCCCATGCATGCTTAAACTCCTTTACTGTGTTAACCTCTACCACTTCAGCTGGAAGGCTATTCCATGCATCCACTACCCTCTCAGTAAAGTAATACTTCCTGATATTATTTTTAAACCTTTGTCCCTCTAATTTAAGAATATGTCCTCCTGTTGTGGTAGTTTTTCTTCTTTTAAATATAGTCTCCTCCTTTACTGTGTTGATTCCCTTTATATATTTAAATGTTTCTACATCACCTTGTTGAGTGATGATTACATGCAAGGCTGTGTCAACAGATATTGAGATACTTATTTTTTTCCATGAATAGTTGTGCCAACATATATTGAGATATGCGTACCATTAATTAATATAAGACCGTTCAATTGCACGTTTTATATTTCAAGTGTTACTTTTTTCACATCAAGATTGTTTATGTATATTTTTGTGCTGCCTGTATGAGCTCTTTTTAGTTTAAAGAAAAAATAATCTTTGATGGTTTACATGTATAAATTTGTGCCCAGATATATTTAGATGCCTGTATTTTTTTTATTTATTTTTTTAAGAATGCAAAGTGCTTTTCATACAGTTAGAGGAATACTCAATTTATTTGAGTGAATATGAGATATAAGAAAAAAGAAAAAGAATCCTGCACTCCATATATATCAATAATACTTGCCCGGTGCTTGTCAAGCAAAAGTACAACCTATGTGATCCAGATAGCACTCTCAGGACTTTGTATGAAGTAAAACTTAGCTTTTAATGAGCTTTAAAAAGAATCAATCGACGTTTCAGTCTGTTATTCACAGACTTTCATCAGGACGGATATATATATATATATATATATATATTTTTTTTTTTTTGGATTAAGTATTATAGTTAAAGACATCTTACTTTGTTTAAAAATAAAGCTTGCTTTTTCTTTTTCTTGCTAATTAGTATGAATTATGCAAATCAGGTATCAGTAGGATGGCCAACGAGAAGATCTCCATATCAATTAGTACCAATTATGCAAATTAAGTATCAGAAGGGCAACCAATTGGAAGATCTCCTTGCCTTATACAGTTGGACGGGGAATGGAGAGAATTTGTCTCGATTTGAGAAAGTACACAAAGTGTGAAACGCGTCATCGAGTGCCTTACCTGGAGAAGTCCAGCTCTATGCTAAGTAGCCATGAGTGTGATTTTCCATCTCGAACAAGCTATAATGGAAATATCTCCTAATAGACATTCCAGATACTAGTTATTTTAATTGCTTTTATTATTCTTTTTATTCACTTTTCCATGCAAAGTTAGAATAATTATAAAAAAATATATATCTATGGAACCTGGTCCTCCAGTCTAAATATCATAGAATCTTCGCTCTTCATTTATTTCAGCAGTGGAGACCTTGCCAGACTTATAGGCTGCCTTATATACTGGATGCTATAACTTGAGTCGAGTTAGGGCTTTTTATCTAGTAAGTGTTCCACACTACAGAAATCGGAGAGAGACTAACTCCAACCATTGATCATTTATTTTTCTTTTAACTTTACTCAAATTCTTAATCTGTCTTTTATAAATTCAAGAAAATACACCCTAATTCAACTCTATGGTTTTACATATCAGGACATCATCTGTTCCTTAGCAGGTCTTAAAGTTAGGTAAATGCAACCTCAGATGAACTACAAAACATGACACATTACACCAGGTCATGATTTATTTAACAAAAATAAAGCAAAAATGGAAAAGCCATGTGTGAAAAAAAAGTACACCTTATGATTCAATAGCCTATAGAACCAACTTTAGCAGCAACAACCTCTGTATGATATCAGTCTCTTACATTATTGTGGAGAAATTGTGGCCCACTCTTATTTACAACGTTGATTCAGTTTATTGAGGTGAGGTTTGCTGGCATGTGTTATGCATAGCTCTCGTAAGGTCCCGCCACAGCTCTTCAATCTGGTTGAGGTCTGGACTTTGAATGGGCTATTGCAACACATTGATTGTTTTGTTTTAACCATTCTGTTGTAGATTTGCTGGTGCTGTGGATCATTGTTCTGTTCCTGACCCAATTTTGGACAAGTTTAAACTGATGGACAGATGGTCTAACATTTGTCTCTAGAATACTTTGGATATAGAGGAGTTCATGGTTGACTCAATGACTGCAAGGTTCACAGACCCTGTTTCTGCAAAACAAGTCCAAATCACCAACTCTCCACCACCTTACTTGACAGTTGGTATGAGGTGTTTGTGCTGATATGTTGTGTTTGGTTTTCACTGTGCATTATGGCCAAACATCTTGACTTTGGTCTTGTCTGTCCAAAGGGTCATGTTCCAGAAGTCATGTGTGCAAACCTAAGCTGTGCTTGAGAGAAGAGGCTTTTTTCTGCCAACCCTTCCAAACAAACTATACTTCAGTCTTTTTCTAAATGTATTGTCATGAGCTTGAACATTTAATATGCTAACATATGCCTGAAGAGTCTGAGATGAAACTCTTGTTTTGCAATTCTTCTGAGCACGGTCTGACTTGGGGGTGAATTTGCTGGGACATCCACTCCTGGGAAGATTGGCTACCGTGTTGAATGTTTTCATCTTTTGAATAATATTTCTCATTGTAGAATGATGGACTTGAAAATAACCTTATAACCCTTCCCAATTTGATAGGCAGCAACAATTGCTTATCTAAGATCATTGCTGATGTCTTTCCTCTTTGGCATTGTGTGAACACACACCTGAATGGTTCAGACCAGCAAACTGCTGAGCAGGAAGATCAGAGCTCCCTCGCCGCCTACTCTGCCAGTTCGCCCCCTGCATACACGTGCACCTGCCCAGCAGCACAAGTAGCACCTGCTGCTCCAGTGGACCCCAGGAGGAATCCACTCCAGCTTTCCCATGGAGGCTGGGTGGAGATAAACTAAAATAAAAAAATTATAATAATTTGTGTGTGTGTGTGGGGGGTGGGGGTGGGGAATTTGAGTGTGTGTCTGTCAGTGAGTGAATGTGTCTGTCAGTGAGTCAGTGAGTGAGTGTGTGTCTGTCAGTGTGTGTGTGTGTCATTGAGTGTGTGTGTCTGTCAGTGACAGTGTGTGTGTCTGTCAGTGACAGTGTGTGTGTCAGTGAGTGTGTGTGTCTGTCAGTGACAGTGTTTGTCAGTGTGTGTGTGTTTGTCAGTGAGTGTGTATATTTGTCTGTGTGTGACTGTCAGAGTGTGTCAAATCAGTGAGTGTGTGTGTATATCATTGTATGTCAGTATATGCGCTATATAAATTGCAATAATAATGTGAGTGTATGTGTCTGTCAGTGTGTGTTGGGTAAACAGTGTATATGTCAGTGCATGCATCAGTGAAGGAGTGTCTGTCAATCAAAGTGTGTGCGGCCTTGACAGGAAGGGGTGGGGGAAATTTAAATTAGATGGGGTGCCCGAGTTTGTTCATTCCTAGGGCAGCACAAATTCAAAATACACCACTAACTGTAGGCACGATAACAACTTAAATAAGAGGAAGTTGTTAAAGTGCCTATAGTGTCCCTTTAAAGAGACACCCAGTCTGCCCATATATTTATACAATGTAGATATAATGCATACAATTACAAAGTAAACATATGGAAGAGTATGGCAAATCCACGTTAGTACCTGACAGTAGCTTTATTACTGAAATATCAGGAACACAACCAATTGAATGTAGCCTTTATCATTTTGCTGAATAGCTGTATTCATGTTTATATATTTAGCAACCCATACAGCAGGAAACACTCTTAAACTTGCCTTCACCAACCTCTGT